TGCGGCGGTCTGCACTCTCCGTCCTCAGCGATCGCTCGGGAAACTTCGCCTTCGGTTGTCTCCGCGAGTCTTCGGCGCGTCTCGTGCGCTTCGTCCGTTTCGGGCAGCAATGGCTTCGTCGCGAGCGTCGCAAAGAATCCTATATCTTCGGCGTTTTGGCTAATTGTTTGTCTCGATGCCAGCAGTCGGTCGCCTTGTGCCTAGTTTTTCCGCAACTGTGGCATTTAAGCTTAGACTTTTCCTTGTCCATCTCGTTTTTCGGTGCGGCCTTCCTTTTGTTCTTCTAATTTTTGTTTGCGTAAGGCTTGACCGCCATGGCGTTTTGCACAAGAACGTTGTTGTCCTTTTTTCGAGCGTCGCTCTCTTCAATTATTTTAATTCGTAGTGCTTCCGGTGCAGGTAATTCATCGCGCGACTCGATGGCACATCGGAAGTTTTCATATTGCGATGGTAGGCTGTATAATAATAAAATCGCGAGCACATCGGGATTTATGATCACTTCCATTTCAGTTTATCCACTGCGTCGAAGAATGTGCGAATGTGTTCGCGCACGTCTTCCCCGTCCGCCATTTTTTGTAATGCGAGGCGTTTCAGCAGCGTTGCCTTTCGGGCGGGACCTTTGGCTTGATATATTCCTTCACAATTTCTCGAGATGATGTGCAGCCTTTGATCTGCTTCAATTCGCTCGGGTGAATTGAAAGGATGAGATCCGACATCGCCTTGCTATCGTTGTCGTCCCATTCCGCACGAGCTTGGGCAGATATCCCGTCGTCGTCGGCAACTAGTTCCGTTTTCACGTTCGTTCCATTCACATACTTCCATGCGTTGTTTTTCACCAATATTGCTTGCATCTGCATTTTCCAGGTGTAGTTGTCTTTATTGAGCGTTTCAATGCGGCTCATAGCGGACACGTTCATCGTGAGTGTCGTTTTCTTTTATGCACTTGATCACCGAGAACCTCTCTCGCTTTGTCATTTTAACACGAACACTTATCGCGAATCTTTGCCTGGGCCCATAACCTGTTGAGGAGGGATCGCGACGTAGGGAATACTTGAACTGTTCCTTGTCGAATCAAGCACGCGGAAGATGAACGTGCCGGTGGTAGAAGCATCTGTGGTCGGCGATAGCGTATCGTTAAAGCGATTTCCCAATATATAGTAAGTTAACTTTCTATACTAGTTTGTACTTAATAGTCTAAGCAATTACATCAATTTTTCGAATAAAAAAAATAAAGTATAACACAAAAAAAAATAAAATATATACATACGAATGCACTAATATTAAAACAAAGACATATAAGTATTAAAGATACAAAATTATAAGAGATTAATATTAAAAACAAAGAATTACAATTACATATCACATCCAATATTTTAGTCAACATGTAGGAACTTTCAATATTAACATATGATTAAATTTTAATCTAAATAATGACAAATTCAGTTGGAAGCACTAGTGCATATTAGTGCATATTTCGAATTATAAAATACATATATTATCTAATAGTAGAATAAAATGTATTAAGTATTTTAGGATTTAATCGATTTCTATGTTTATGTATAAACATATCTTTACATTATTTTGTCTACGACGGTTTTAATGTACACCAGTGCGCATTAAATGCGTCCTATGGAATTCGCTAACATTTGTTCTTTCTTTGGTTCTTCCAATACTGTTTGTATTTTTGCATTATTTTACTTTATTTCTCGCTATTCTTGTTGTTTGGCGAACAATTCCCGTATTAGAATTAACTTTTCTTAGTGACGCCTTTCTTTTGCCGCTTCTTTCTTTTCCCAGTATTCCATTCTTTTATCAACAGAACTTGATTTCGACTTTTTTTGTCTTTGGCAATGAGCTTTCAGTAGAATGAGTAAGCACTATCATTACGGATTTCTTCCAACATTCTTGTATTCAGTTTAGGATATTTAACGCTCCTCCCACTTCGCAACTCCTCGGGCTCAATATCATCCCAATGAGCAATTTTATTTAATTCTTTGAATGGTATAGTCTGTCTAGAGCTGCCTGATTTAGAGTTGTTCTCAACTGTTTTTTTGGGGGGGAGGGATAGTTTTATACCGATTTTCAACTTGAAAAGGAGTTTTTGATACCAATATGTTCAACATCGTCATCATATATTTTGAAATTAGCGCCCACATCAATTTTTTAAATTTTTTCATGGGACCAATATTCCACATATATGTTTTGTATTTGTAAAAAAAAAACGATATTGCTAAATTGCTTCAATAATCTGAAAATCATATTGTTTAATGATTAATATACAATAGTCTACATTATAGCACTAGTAAATCTATTAATAGGTATTACAATTAATGTAAAAACCTTGTAAAGTGTTAAAGATAAAAATCTTTTTTGTTATACTTTTTATATATTTATTTATTATATATATTTAATTTAATATATTTATACGTATTCTATTATACCTATTAGATTTATTTTATTTGCTAATAATATAATTATATTTATTAAAATATCTCATTCTTTATTTCGTATCATATTAATTTTTTGCTAGAATATAACGAAGTATTTATAAGTTCTTATAGTACATTGTGCTGGTATAGTGCTATGAATAGTCGTAAATGCTTTATCAAAATATATTTACCGATATTCTTTTCTTTTTTTATTGTATTCCTGCGAGTGATTCATTCTGATCGTACTCCTGTTCGAAGGATTAAAACATGGTAGTGCTTCATTTTCTTTATTAAACTCTGATAGCTGATCTTGACTGCTGCAATTATCACTGTGGATATTCGCGTGGAATATCAACTGTTCTCTGTAATACAAAATATATTGACATTCTTATGCAGTCATATACAGTAAGTCAAATAAGAATGTGGTCGACCAGTGTGGTGTTGCATCATTTCATGTTATTAGCCTTGAGATAGATTTCGTACGATATATCTAAACCTTTCTGCTTCAATTTTGCTCGTCTTTGACGCAGTGTTAAGCCAGGAAACCGCGAAAACAGATTCACTATTTTTTTATCGTCTTTTTTGTCCACTTTGCATATCGAGCCACGTTCCGGTAAAACATCGACATTTTTTGCCACATTATCGCACCCACTTCTGTACGAATGATTTTGACTTTTTCATATATTTAGCAGCCACTAATTGTGATATTTTTAAGTAAGTGCATAGGAACATAGCTTCATAGCTGATGCGTATTTGATACTCATGGCGCTTAATGTGATTCTCTTAAGAAAGTTTAATGAATCTTCCTTGATAGTGCATCAAGGACAAAGGCCTTCTATGGATTCGTGATAAATTTAGGGCGATATTTTTTATTAGCTTTGAATAAGGTCGACCACGATCTTACTTGACATACTGTATATCTTTCTTTAATTTTTTTTTCTGTTGTATACAGCAAAAAAAACTGACGTATTTAAACTTTGTAGAATTCTAATTCTTTAAAAGAGTGATAAGAGAGAGAGAGAGAGAGAGAGAGAGAGAGAGAGAAAGAGAGAGAAAAGGATTGCAAATTAATTAACAGATATGTAAGAAACTGAAAAGATTCCGTTCACCTTAAAGAAAGCTTATTCATTTTTTAAAAATAAATTTATAAAATAAAATAATAATTATTGTGTAAAATAAACTTTGCTCTTAAGTTCTTAATATGCTGAAAACCAGAAGATAGATTGTTATACTATAAATGCATCTTACATAATTCAAAATTCTACTTACTCATCTTCAAGTATTCGAGATATTTTTTGAATTTTCTGATTTTGGCTTCCACTTAGGACAAACATTCCATTTTTAATCAGAAGTTTCATATATGCTGTAGATATCATTGTCTGAAATTAATTCGCATAGGAATCAGCTAATGTTCTTTTATATATATTTTTGAAATAAACTGTGTTTTATACTAAACTTAATTTCTGCGGCTTATATTTATTAGATGACGCTGGTTGTAAGTGTAATTTACTTTGACATCTGAAGCTGACTACATTTTAGAGGTTAGACATTTGTCAATAAAATTCAGTGCAAAAAGATTTAAGCGAACAGTATCATTTTCTTTATCATTAAACATGGAACGATAAGTTATTTTTTCGACATGTGCTGCTTCATTATTTGATTTGAAAAAAAACTGCAGCTGCAACTCATAAATTGCTTGTCGAAGCTTATGACAATTTGCTTTATCAGAAAGAATATGCCAAGAATGATTTCAATGATTTAAGAGTGGTGATTATGATGTGAATGATAAATAACGCTCAAATCAGCCAAAAAAGTTTGAAGACACCGAATTGCAAGCATTAATAAAAGAAAACCCAGCTCAAATTCTTTCCAAAAATTGTCGGCAGCATTAAATGTTACTCCGATGGATGTTTTCAAATGTCTACAATGGGAAAGATTCAAAAGGATGGAAAATGATTATCACACGAATTAATCGAAAATGCCATTGCAAATCGCTTAAACATTTCTATTTCTCTGCTCGCCAATCAGAAAAAACAAAGTTTTTTGTAGCGCATTGTGACTGGCAATGAAAAGTGGATCTATTTTAATAATTCCAAATGCAAAAAGTTATGGGTGACTGATCATCAACATCTACATCAAAGCGAAATATCCATGGTCACAAAGCAATCTTCTGCATTTAGTGGGATATACAAGGCATCATTTACTACGAGCTATTCAAACTGAATGAAAGTATCATGGGAGTAGTATAACAATGACGATCTTTCTGGGCCACAGATACAGTCATCTGAGCTGCCACCAGGCGGCGCTAGCGTCGCAGTTGAGAGGAGGGGAGGGGCTAAGCAAGGGGGATTACGTAACAAGGTGAGGCGAGGGGGATGACGTTACAAAACGTGACGTCTCTAGGCGAGAAGGATTATGTAACAGGGTGAAGAAGGGGGATGACGTAACAGAATGTGATGTCACTAGACGAGAGGGATGACGTCACAGAACGGAGGGGGAGGTGGATGACGTCACAAAAGGTGATGTCGCTAGGAAAAGAGATGACGTCACAGTAGTTAACGTCGCGGGGATGGCGGTGTGGGGGACGAAGATGTCCTGGGTGCGGGAAATTACGTAGCCGGAAATTACGTAGCGGAGGTAGTCGTCCGCATCGCAGTAAAGACGTGGCGCGGGATGAATGACCGCCGAGCGTGGTCTGCCGACCCCCGCCGCCGCCTGCGGACGCGGTCCGTCCAGTGATGCGAATTCCGGGCCGCTTGCAGCACGCGATTAGCGCCACCGTTCGGCAGCCTGGCGCAACTGGTAGCAATGCAAGCATGTCCCGTGTCCGTGTGACTTCGTTAGTTAGAAGCGTGCCGACTATTATCGCTCTGTCCTTTTTGCACTACGTTCTTATTGCTTGCCTTGTCGGCACACTGAGAACGAGAGAGAACATTGTTTCACTCAAGCGAGCGTCGAGCAACCGAAATATGCTTTCTCGGCCTCTCGGCTCTCGACGTCAGGCGTGTATCAGGAGACATGGAGGCATGGGAACATTCTAAATAACATAAGTTTTAATAAATTGTAATAAATTGTAATATACCCCTCCCAGAATATTATAAATCGTGTCAAAACGCGATAATTGACAGGAGATTAATTGTTTATGATTTTCC